AAAAAGAGAAATCTAAATCAATGGCTGTGTATGAAACAGTCCTGCAATCTGTGTTGCTGAAAAGGACTCCAATGGTTATTGAATAATGGGATCTGTCAATTCTATGTATACAATCAGTGATCCTTAAGTTCTCTCTCATGCTATTTGATTTCCATGACATGTTTAAAGTCCTATCCTATCAGTGTATATATTGGGGCCTCCCAGGTGCATCCCTTAAGAGGGGCAGCAAAGAGCTTGTGTAGGCCCTAGAGAATCAATCCCAACCATACAAGACAAATCGCTCCTCGGGGTAAATTCATGCTAAGGTAAGATTCTACAGAAAATTCCCAGATACCTTATTAGACTACTAAACCATAGTGACTCTGCCAGGCTTCCATTAAGCATGCTTTAACTAATCAGTCTTCACTAACAAAATCTTGTCTCTAGTGGAGGCAAATCAATCTATTTATCATAGGTAGGTGTGTAGTTATTATCACTGTATTATTTACATGCGTTCTAGGAGAGGATAACTGTTCCCTTGTATGGTTTCAGAGGAACAGCCGTGTTAGTCTGTATTCGCAAAAAGAAAAGGAGTACTTGTGGCACCTTAGAGACTAACCAATTTATTTGAGCATGAGCTTTCGTGAGCTGTGGCTCACGAAAGCTCATGCTCAAATAAATTGGTTAGTCTCTAAGGTGCCACAAGTACTCCTTTTCTTTTTGTTCCCTTGTATGTATCCAGCTCTAAATTTCTATACAGTGTCCAATCACTGTAATACTTAAGAGACTTGGTGGGATAATTCACATGATTGGAACATTGGTATAGAAGGGTACAGCTTGTTCAGGAACAACAGACAGGAAAAAAGGGAGGAAGTGTTGGCTTCTATATCAAAGACATATAAACGTGCACTGAGACAAAAGTGGGAGGCAGACCTGTTGAAAGTGTCTGGGAAAAGATAAAAGGCATAAAAACAAGATTGATGTCATGGTAGGGGTCTACTATAGATCACCTAGCCAGAAAGAAGAGGTGGATAAGGCTTTTTTTAAACAACTAAAACAAAATCATCCAAAGCACAGGACTTGGTGGTGATAGGACACTTCAAATATGCAGACATCTGTTGGGAGTATAATACAGCAGAGAAAAGATTATCCAACAAGTTCTTGGAATGCATTCAAGATAACTTTTTATTGCAGAAGGTGGAGAGAGAACCAAGAGAAGAGGCTTTTCAACATTTGAGTCTGACAGATAAGGAGGACCTGTTTGAGAATTTGAAAGTGGAAGGCAGCTTGCGTGAAAGTGATCATGAAATAAGCATTCATAATTCTAAGGAATGGTAGGAGGGAAAGCAGCAGAAAAAAGACAATGGACTTCAAGAAGGTAAACTTTAGCAAACTCAGAGAACTGGTAGGGAAGATCCTTGGGAAGCAAGTCTAAGGGGAAAAAGAGTTCAGGAGAGTTGGCAGTTTTTTAAACAGACATTAAGGACGCAAGAGCACACTACCCCAGTGCATAGGAAAGAAAGCAAGTATGGTTAGTGACCACCATGGCTTACCCAGGAGATTGTCAATGATGTGAAACAAAAAAAAGCCCCACAAAAAGGGGAAACTAGGTCAAATTACGAAGGATGAATAGATTTAAAAAAAAAAACATAAGCATATAGGGACAAAATTAGAAAGGCCAAGGCACAAAATGAGACTAACTAGAGGCATAAAGGCAACAAGAAAACATTTTACAAATACATTAGATGCAAGAGGAAGACCAATGACAAGCTAGGCCCATTACTCAATGACGTGGGAAAAACAATAACAGAAAATGCAGCAATGTCTGAAGTTTTAAATGCCTTTTTTGTTTCAGTTTTCGCCAAAAAGGTTAAGTTATCAGATGACTAACAAAGGGAACATAAGTGTAAATGGGGTAGGATCTGAGGCTAAAATAGGAAAAGAACAAGTTAAGAATTACTTAGACAAGTTAGATGTCTTCAAGTTGGCAGGGCCTGACAAAATATATCCTAGAATACTTAAAGAACTGACTGAAGAACTCTCTGAGCTATTAGCGATTATCTTTGAGAAGTCATGGAGGACATGGGAGATCCCAGAGGACTGGAAAAGGACCTATCTATAAAAAGGTGAACAGGATAACCCAGGGAATTATAGAACAGTATAATTAACATTGGTACCCAGAAAGATAATGGAGCAAATATTCAATCAATCAATTTTTAAGCACCTAGAAGATAATAAGGTTATAAGTAACAGTCAACGTGGATTTGTCAAGAACAAATCATGTCAAACCAAACTAATATCCTTCTTTACGGGGTAACAAGCCTTGTGGATAAGGGGGAAGCAGGTATGATATATCAACTTTTTAGTAAGGCTTTTGATATTGTCTCATGTGACCTTCTCATAAACAAACTAGGGGAATATAGCCTAGACCAGTGTTTCTCAACCTTTTTGATACCAGGAACTAGCTTGTTGCCTTTCTAAACTGTCATGAAGATCTCAGGGAATGGTTCTGGTCCACAGACCAGTCATTGAGAACAACTGGCCTAGACATACCTAAGGTGGGTGCACAACTGGTTGGAAAACTACTTGGAGTAGTTATCAATGGTTCACAGTCAAGTTGGAAGGGCATATTGACTGGGGTCCTGCAAAGATCTGTCCTGGGTCTATTTAATGTCTTTGTAAATGATTAGATAATGGCCTAGAGATTACACTAATAAAGTGTGCAGACAATACAAAGCTGGGAGCAATTGAAGGTCAGAATTAGAATTCAAAATGATTTTGACAAACTGGAGAAATAGTCTGGAGAAATTCTATGAAATAAATAGGATGAAATTCAATAAGGACAAATACAAATTACTGCACTTAGGAAGGAATTATCAATTGCACAAATGGGAAATGACTGCCTAGGAAGTATTGCTGCAGAAAAGGATCTGGGAGTGCTAGTGGATCACAAACTAAATATGAGTCAACAATGTAATACTGTTGCAAAAAAACCAAACCTCATTCTGGAGTGTATTAGAAGTATAGCAAGCAAGACACAATAAGTAATTCTTCCACTCTACTTAGCATTGAAAAGGTCTCCACTGGAGTATTGTGTCCAGTTCTGGGCACTGCACTTCAGGAAAGATGTGGACAAACTGGAGAAAGTCCAGAGGACAGCAACAAAAATGATTAAAGGTCTAGAACACCTGACATAAGAGGAAAGACTGAAAAAATGGGTGTTTTTAGTTTGGAGAAGAGAAGACTGATTGGGGGACATAAAGAGGAGGGTGATAAATTGTTCTTAACCACCAAGGACAGGACAAGTTATAATGGGCTTAAATTGCAACAAAGGAGATTTAGATTAGACATTAGAAAAAACTTCCTAACAACAAGGGAAGTTAAGCAGTGGAATAAATTAGTTAGGGAGGTTGTGGAATCTCCATCATTAGAGATTTTTAGGCAAACACTTGTCAGGAGTGGTCTAGACAATTCTTAGCCCTGGTCTACACTAGGACTTTAGGTCAAATTTAGCAGCGTTAAATTGATGTAAACCTGAACCCATACACACGATGAAGGCCTTTTTTTCGACTTAAAGGGCTCTTAAAATCGATTTCCTTACTCCACCCCTGACAAGTGGATTAGCGCTTAAATCGGCCTTGCCGGGTCGAATTTGGGGTACTGTGGACACAATTCGATGGTATTGGCCTCCGGGAGCTATCCCAGAGTGCTCCATTGTGACTGCTCTGGACAGCACTCTCAACTCAGATGCACTGGCCAGGTAGACAGGAAAAGAACCGCGAACTTTTGAATCTCATTTCCTCAAGAAAAAAGGCGTGAAACGATTGTCTGCTGCTGCTTTCTCGGAGGGAGGGAGGGAACGGGGGCCTGACGATATGTACCCAGAACCACCCGCGACAATGTTTTAGCCCCATCAGGCATTGGGATCTCAACCCAGAATTCCAATGGGCAGCAGAGACTGCGGGAACTGTGGGATAGCTACCCACAGTGCAACGCTCTGGAAGTCGACACTTGCCTCGGTACTGTGGAAGCACTCCGCCGAGTTAATGCATTTAATGCACTTAGAGCATTTTCTGTGGGGACACACACACTCGAATATATAAAAACGATTTCTAAAAAAACAACTTCTATAAATTCGACCTAATATCCTCGTGTAGACATACCCTTAGTCCTGCCTCAGTGCAGGACTAGATGATCTGTCGAGGTCCCTTCCATTCCTACCTTTCTATGATCTCTATTTAGTCACCATGTTTTATAAGGCTGAGATATCACAAAATAACTTTTTTCCACAGTATGGGTATCAAGCATCTGTTTGTTCTAATTTTGTATGTATTTTTCTTGTGACTGAATGATTCCTATTATTGTATGTGAGTCCTCTTTAAAAATGCTGCTTGGCTCCGTTATACTACTACTGATACCTAGCTCTTATAGAGCCACTTTTCATCTGCAGATCCCAAAGCTCTTTACAAAGGGGATGAGTACCATTATCCCCATTTACAGACAGGGCTAGATTTTTGTGCATTTTAAGTTACTGAGTCTAGTCATTTGCATTCTGTTAATTCATGACAGACTTTAACACTTGTATGCTTAGAAATAAGAGAACAAGTTTGTTACAGTGGCTTTCTCTTTTATGTAGAAAGAAAAAGTTAAGCATACTGTAAACACAATTTTCTGGAACTAACAAGACCACACGTAAGGAAAGCCCACACATCTGCTGTATTAAAAAGAGAGACATGCTGATCTTTTATTGATTGAGTAGATCTAAAACTAAGAGCAAAATATTTATCCAGTCTGTATGTCAATAGTTTATAACAGTACAATAGGTTTCCTCTCAGTGGACTCTCTCTCTTCTGGAAACTTAGGTATTTTAATATGTATTTTGGATTCTGGCATTATTTATTCAATTAGAACTATATATAAATCGATCATAAATGATAGACAATTATAATACTAATGAAAAAAGGCATAGGTTCATGAAGTCTTAAAATGTTTCCTACATTGCCTATATATATATATATATATATATATATATATATATATCAGCATCCACGAGAAAGCAAATAATCAGACTGCCTTTCATCTACAGTGAAGGCCATCAGTCTGGGGGTTGTGAACATATGTCCTGGAATTGCAAACACTCTGTACTTCCCATACTTTCCATACAGTGCGAAAGGGTCCTGGTTATTTGGGAGAAGGGCTGAAGGTTGAGAGCTACTGGTCTACCATTATTAAGATGTATAGAAAATGAACATTTGAAAAAAAATTATAAACCAATTTTCAATACTCATGAGGGGCAATGGCTATTTAGAGAAAAAATAAAGATAACAGCCATAAAGATACTATTAGCATGTACTTATTGTACAAAGACCAAGAGACAAAGAGATTTTCTTTTTAAAGGATGAAAAGAACCTAAGATCTACGGTGAGCTATGATCAGGATCTGCTGATAATTTTTTCCTGTGCTTTCCCTGAGAGAAGTTTATCTCTTGAGCAGTTTTTCCTGAAAGACAAGAAAAATCAAATAGAAAGTTAAGATGGTAGCTATGCACAAAATAAATGGCATCATTTTCAAGGTTCCTTGGTATTCTATGTCCTGCATTTTAGAGTCTTAGTTGACCTATCCCTAAATTTACCTCAACAGTGCTCTAGAGATGCTATGTTGAATAGTAAAAATAGTACAACATTCTTTTATATATACTGAATGCTTGTTATACCACAAAGCTAGAACATGAAAAGGGAGCAAAAGATAAAACTTTGCAGTACAGATTTACTCATAAACACCCTTAACTCAATAACTGTCTGAAGTACATTTATTTCAGATTATTTGGCACATCTATGGCTCTGTGTGGTATTGGATAATAAAATAATATCTGGATAGGAAGAGAAAATGAGAAAATACTTTTATTTTGATCAAATGAGTATAAAATGATAGATTGATACCTCGCTTTAAACTGTTAAAAATAATTTGAAAAAAAAATTATAATTCTTTTATTTCAAAGGCTCAACAACAGATCTCCACTTTCTGCTATTAATTGAATCCATCAGTTAATCAAAAGCATGGCTAAACAAATAGGTCGTATATTGTGCTCTGACACTCACCAAACCCAGGTTCTGGTGCACTGCTGGAGGTGGAAGGAAATCCAAACGAGTGGGATCTTGGCGCTTCCCAGTTGACCCTGACTGAGGTGGGCGTGGTCCTGACTACTTAATGATCCCTGGTTATTGCTAGAGCACTTTAGTAGTTGTCCCAAGTCTTTGGCCATGAGGGACTGTGCCCTAGGCTCAATGTCTGGTTGGGTCTCTGGGGGTAGAGCTACACTACAATGTAAGCCCAGGTTAGTAGAACTTGAGTTAGCAGAGTCTGGGTTTGTAAACCCAGGGATTGAATGTCTATGCACATTTGTAACTCTAGGTTAGGAATTGTTGAATCCTGGGTTCCACCCTGGGTCTCCAGTGTCTACACTGCATTATGTAGGCCCGACTCCAACCAGCCATATGCCAGACTTGACTTCCGAGCACCATCCCAAAACGTGGCTGCTGTAGCCTTGTTTGCGGTGCAGTGTGGGAAAACTTGCCTGTCCAGAAGACAAAGAAAGTCAGCCTGTGGGAGTGTGGGACACTTGTGGAGACTCCCAGAGCACGAGTCCAGTGGGGCTGTATCCACAGAGCAAAGCAATAGGGTTTGAACCCTGGGACCTGGCTTGACTGAGGCTTGGACCCTCCACCCCAGGAGATCCTGGGCCTGAGCCAGAGTTAGCACAATTTGTGTGTAGATGGAAGGAGGGTTAGGCTTGAGCCTGAGTTTGAACCCTGGGCTTATATTGCAGTGTAAACATACCCTGTGAGTCCTGAGAAAGTCTAACCATAGAGATCCTGCCCAGAGCAGCCCTAATCATAGAGATACAACCTAGATTGACTCCCCTGCTTTCCAAATCAGGACATACAAGCCCCTGTCCATGAGGCAGGAGCCATGGAGAATGAAGGAGACTGAACAGTTCTGGGAGCAAGCAATTCAGAATTTGTTGCTGGATACAATAACACATTAATTGCCCATGTGCCTGGGCTCTGGTAATGGGACCTGGAAAACCTGAACCTCAAACGGAATTCTATATAAAGTATCTACATACTCCAGCTTTTGAGCTTAAAATGTAGTTCCTGCACACGTTCTTGCAAGCAAAACTCACTCGCTGGAATGTAATAGAAAGTAAACACAAAAGAGTGGTGTGAGCACAAACAAAGCACTTTCACTTTCAAATTTAAGTAAATATTTGTGGATAACGATTTCCATTATTTACATAACTCGAGTGTTAACTAAACCGAAACTATGCTAATATGTTGCCTCAAGTAGATATCTAAGTAGATAATTAAGGATATCCTTTCCTCTGGGATTAGACACCTTTTGGCTTTTTCACAAAGCTAGTTAGTTAAAAGCAGTCAAGATAGTGAGAGAGCATTCTCAGGAGAAGCATAACTTTGTTTTAGCCATGATCTTAGCCAAATTCCAAAGCCAAGGACCACATTCTGCTCTGTTACACCAGATACATCTGGTGTAACAAAGACCTCAACCCTTTTGAGATGGGATGCATGGGCCTGCTTGATAAAGTGGCCACACCTCTCTGTAGAGATACTGATTGAGTGCTTATGTGGGTGAAAGGGCTCCTTCTGTCCTTTTTACTTGGTATTTCAGAAGTCTTTCAGCCTTTGTGATTAACAAGGAGCTTTCTAAACACCTCCCGGATCCAGCATGGGTGTGTAGAGAGAATCCCCACACCTGAGGATCAGATTGCTGAAAAATTTAAGCCATAATTCTCAGATGTGGAAACATAAAGCTGGATATTAAAGGCTCTTGCAGCTCCCATTGACTTCAGAATATTGATTTAGGTACTTACCTTTAGACACTCCCCAGTTTAAAAAAAAAATTGGCCTTAAAATGTGTTAATCTTAAAACATATGTCTGGGCAGATGGGTGACCTCTGATGTCAAAATTATTCATTTCATGTTAGATATGAAAATTTATTTATGGCAACACCAGCCCCAGTACCATTTGTATATAACATGTTGACAATCTCGGCCAAATTCTGCTCTCAGCACCTGTGCAGCTCCATTCATTTCACCTGGGATGCAAATTAGATCAGTTCATGTGTCTGCCCTCAGATTCATGGGGGTCCCCATGTTGCCTCTAATTTTGTGTGTATGTGTGCAGAACAAAAACTACTAGATCTTAAATTTAACATCCGGGAGTCCAATCTCTTCAGCTCCCATTTTCTCCCCCAGGCTATGCTGTCTCCCTTTCTATCCATCTTATTTGTCATTCACATATTTTTTCATTTTCCTTCCTGTCCACTTACTAGCTGTCTTTCCTCATATATTTCTCTTATAACTTACGTTCCTTGTAAGGTCCTTGCCCCCTTTCATTTCCCTTTTCCTCTATCCATCCTGTATAACCTCCCTTAACTTTCAGTGTGTGTGAGAGTGAGAGATATAATCTGTTTTAGGGTTTTGTACTAATGCTTATCACCACTGTAGAGACATCTCTCTCTCTCTCTCACACACACACACACACACACACACACACGCTCCCCTCCCCCCGCTATCATACATTACTTTCACTCTTTCCATGGGAGGACGGGGAGCCTTGGGACCCCCTTACCTCAGACAGAAGACAGCAGGTGGAGTGGGAGCCCTTAAGCCCCTTCTTCCAGCAGGAAGCAGATGCCTCCTGGCACATAAAGGTCTCTTGAATGGCTCAAATGTAACTGTGCATGAAACCTGCCAGCAGGGTGCATAGCCATGCACATGAACAAGGTAGTGAGGGAATACAATGTTCCCTCTATGTATCTGATAAACATCAGCTATTGCCTACAAGCTTGTGCACTTCCAGTGACTTTACAAACTCTATTCAAGAAGACTGGGACAAATTCTGCATTGGTGTATGTCTCAAGTAACACCACTGAATTCATTTAAAGTTAGTTTAATGTGGTGAATGTTAGAGCAGAATTTAGGCCAGAATTATCTTTGGCATTATAAGATAATTACCTTATTTCTAACTTGTAGTGATGGAGACTACTTTGTAATGAGTATGCTTTCTCCTCAGCAAATATCCAATTATCCTTTTCTAAAAAAAAATTGGGAGTTATAAAACTGTGAAATAATAGAAAGGGTTTAATTGGCAATGATACAATATTAGCTATTCCTGAGTTTTCTTTTACAAAAGCCCCAAGTTTTCCTTTCTTTAGCTTAAGATTTGCAAAATGTAGGAACACCAATTGGTAAAGTGGCTTCTAATGTTCATTCATATGTGAACACAAAGAGATCAGTGAGAAGAAGGGAATCCTCCAGTGTTAGGTGACTGGATCAGCGGATGGCAAAGGTGACCAGTGTAGACAACTTTAAAATAGTTAACCTGAAAGAAGAGATCAAGATAAGAAATAGGAGCCAAATGGAACAGTCATCCAACACAATGATAAGGAAAGGATCTGGGAGTTATCATGGGTAAAACTCAACATCTATAGCCTAAGTACACAGCTCTAATAAATAGAGCAAACTACATACTAATGTGTTTTAGCAAGGGACAGAAAGCAAAATCATAGAATCATAGAATCATAGAATATCAGGGTTGGAAGGGACCTCAGGAGGTCATCTAGTCCAACCCCCTGCTCAAAGCAGGACCAATCCCCAACTAAATCATCCCAGCCAGGGCTTTGTCAAGCCTGACCTTAAAAAGGATGGTGTGACGAAGTGGGGCTGCTCCCAATGGCCCCTCCGAACAGTGTAACATCTGACACCCTGAGACCATTACTGTACTGTAACTTGTTGAGTATTACCTGGAATATTGTGTGCAGTACTGGTCATTATTCCACAGAAAGTATATTATTGATAAAAGGCTTGATCCTGCTCCATGCAAGTCAATTGGAATTTTGCCATTGATTTTGATGAGAGCAGGATCAAGCCCTTAGAGAGGCTGCTGCGCAGGGCAACAAATGGAACAAATGTCTAAGTTTTTAGGCAAGGTTGAATGCATTACTGAAAAAGAGAGATTTTTTTACAAAACTTAATAATTTTGAAAAAATATTAGGTAATCATATGAGTAGTGACCAAAATATGATTTCTTAGGTATCAAGTTTTATATTTGATACGTAAGAGTGGTTCACAAATCAGCAGATGAGCTCTAGAAAGTAGAAAACTGCGATAAACTCAGACAATTTACTACTATTGTTGAGCAAAGAATATCAATAAGGCCAACAGAACCCTAGATTTGAGTCTGGGAAAGTTTAAGTCTAAATTAGACAAGATGGGCTCAGCTGATAAAATCAGGAGAGTTAGATTAAGCAGAGTCAGGTAAGGGCCAGATTGCCTTTTCCTGGTCTTAAAATAGGTTATATACCAGTTTCATATGTTAAATTAGAGATGTGGGGCGAGATCGTCAGCTGGCATAAATCAACTTAGCACCATTGAAGCTTCACCAAATTATACCAGCAGATGATCTGGCCCATATAATCAATGTGTATTTTTTCACAGCCATAAATGCTGTTTCATTGGAAGGTGTACAAAAGTGATAGTAAACTTCACTAAGGTTCATTCACAGGTAATCAAGTGAATATAATTATTACATATAAATAATAATAATCCCAAATGATACAATTTCCCCAGTCCAATTTTGTCTTATATTGTTTCCTTTTATAATAGTATAAAGTGGAAAGGGTTGGTTTATGCTAAAATCACAAATACTCTAGGGCCCAGTCCTTACTACAGCAAAAAACTGTGGCACTTAGTTAATGATTTTATCGGGGCCGTTTCTCTGATTTTCTTTTAACTCTGAAGAGAAAGCAAATGTGTATAAAACTGAATTATTGTAAGAAGGGATAAGTGACCTTACAGCACAAATTCTGACTTTTCTGCAAGCTTCAGAGCCTCGTGCATCCCTGCAGCTGATAGTTTCCGGTTGATATTCCTATATCTGCACTGTAGTAGATTGCGATAGGTTGTCCTCAGGTCCCGATTGAAGAAGGCATATATAAAGGGGTTAATGAGAGAGTTTGCATAACCCAACCATAGAAATGTTCTTTCAACCCAAAACGGGATGCAGCTGCATGCTGTACCACAGATAAAGGGTCTGGCAGTTGAAAGGATGAAAAATGGCAACCAGCACACAGTAAAGGCCCCAACAATAATTCCCAGGGTAGTGGCAGCTTTTTGTTCTCTCTTGAAGATGGAAATGTTTTTTCTATCATGTTTAAGGAGTCGTGAAAAATTTGTACATTCTTCTGATTCCTTGTGTAGCTTTATAACTCCATTCACAGAAACCATGCCTTCATTTTCTTCTGGCCGTGGGAAACCAGCAAACTTGTGTTTAGCAGCACTCCTCTTAGCAGCCTTGTAAATCTGATAGTACATGAAAAGCATCACTGACATCGGGATATAAAACGCAACTGCAGTGGAGTAAATTGTGTAACCGAAGTCTTGACTGATTAAACAAACTTTTTCATCGTTCACATTTTGGGCCCAACCAAAAAGTGGTGGTATGGTGATAGAGGCAGAGAGGAGCCATACACACAGGATCATTTTAGCCATACATTTTCCATTCTGCCTCACAGGATATGTAAGTGGTCTTGTTATTCCAAGGTACCTAGAACAATAAGGAAGAGTTACTACATGGTTCATTGATTTATGGGTAAAACTATTTCATGTAGTCTGCCATAAAGAGATTGAATAATGTTTTAGATTTTATTTTACATTCTCTATTCCTGTCTCCTGCACTTTTTCAAACTTGTAGTTAATTCATGTCAACTTAATCACCTTTAAGATAGGCAGAACCTGCTTTCCTGTAGAGATAGTTAGTTAGTTATTCTCCTAGGGTAAAATCCTGGTGCTACTGAAGTCAATAGCAAAACTCCCATTCACTTCAGTGGGCCAGGATTTCACCCCAGATGTAGAATCTTTCTAATTATGTAAAGACGGAAATCATTTTTTGCTTATAAAAGTTTTTTATAAAAGATTCTGAAAGTTAGGTTTTTACTGAGCTAACTTCTGGAATTTAACCCTTGGTACATTCTATGATCTACAATTCACGCAAAGAAGTGATTACTCTTTCACATTTTGACTTATAACTGTGCTTAGAGCAATATAAGTGATCCTACAAGAGGTATTCTATAAATAAAGTGTATAGATCCATGCCACTAAACTGGATAGGATACATTGTGTTACTCTTACCTTTGTGCTTCCAAGAGAAACAACATAGACTTTGCAATTGTATTCCATGATTTGATCATTTCAGCAGTACATTATAATACATTTTATGATTATATAATTAGAAAGAAATGCCATTTCTTCAACACTCACATCAAGTGTTTATTAATTAAACAAAATAAAAATACATTACAACTTTCAGTTGAACAATGCTTGGGAACAAAGGCATCTAGCTATAACTGATAAAAATTATTAAATTTAGGATTACAAAAGACTAAGAAAACAAATTATATAAGTGCTATAGCAACAATAGGGTTTGTCACAGCGTTTATGAATAAAATGAAGTCTATTGCCAGGTTTCCATGCTGTAAATCTTTCTTAAATGTTAGTTGTTGAACTTAGAATACAAATATTTTATTCTAAGAAATTTTTATGACTCGAGTTCTATTTAGATGGTGAGACTACTGTAAAGTGCCACACTGGTGCCCTTATTGCAAGGTAGCAAATTATGGCTAATGCTACTTCTTTAAGTAAGAATCCGGTGGCAACAATCACTCCGCAACATCACTGACGATAAGCATCACTGGCATGGCAGGAGTGTGAAAGGTAGATTTTGGTAACTGTGCCATATCCTTCACAGCCTGGACTGGCCAATTACAGTGAGCTTCTAATCAAATCATGCTGTACTTCTGAAGACTGGGCCAGGAATGGGCTGAGAATGGTTATTATGGTTGTTTGGAATTGCACCTCCATGATAAGTGATCGGATATTGTAACATAGATACTAGTAAAAGCTATAGTATTTTTGTTGTTTTTGTTCTCTCACACCTTTTGCATTAGAATATTATCTCCTGCTAAGTCTTGGAGTCCTGGAGACAAGCTGTAGATGTCCTGGAGAATTCTATTCTGTGAAATCCCTGGCTGGAGATTGTGCCACTGTGATGAACAGAAAGTTCCCCAAGGCATTCCAAGATATAGAAAATCAGAGTTCATACTGGAAAGGGCTGGAGTTCGACTGTCATGGGACAGGAAGTGCTGACCGGTGCAAGGTTAACTTCAAAATGGCTATTTATTAGCTGACACATTTTGAGGTTTGTGTTGGCACTGTAAATGGGTGAGGTACAACAGCTCACGCTCACAATGAAGCCAATGGTATTACTTAACCTGCAAAGAGTTAAATTACTAGCATGACTGAGCATTAATAAAAAGTCACTTGTAATGCACAGGTTTCAGAGTAACAGTCATGTTAGTCTGTATTCGCAAAAAGAAAAGGAGTACTTGTGGCACCTTAGAGACTAACCAATGTATTTAAGCATAAGCTTTCGTGTAGCTCATGAAAGCTTATGCTCAAATAAATTGGTTAGTCTCTAAGGTGCCACAAGTACTCCTTTTCTTTTTGTAATGCACAGTTTCACAGTTCAGGGCAACTGCACCTGTATTTCCCTTCAGTGGTCCAGCAGTGGCACCCACACTCAGGATTCCAGCTGTTGCCTTTCTTGGGTGGAGTTCTGATGAGGGTATTTCCAGGCTGGACAGTTCCCCGCCTTCACTGTCTTATTCCCAGAAGAGACAGGCTGCCCAAACATACCTGCTTGCTTTCTCTTCAGAGATGGTTAACAGAATGATTGTCTACAGTTTTAAGTTCCCTTCAGTTCTTTCTAGGCAGGCCTATTTTATTCTTAAACTAAAAACCATTACAGAGAAAGCATATTAAGAAGCTGTATGCATGTTAATAAGCTTGCCAGAGATTAGCCCAACTCTAGCATGGCCTCTGGAAGGAGCAGTCCTTCAATGCCCCACCCAAGGGGTTTCCTTTGTGATGACAAGCTCATAACAGTTTCAGTTCAGAACAAGCATGGTCAGAATATGTTTTGTCCACCCTTTATACAGTTCAGGGGTCTTTGATCTGGAGTTTCCAAGAGCAGGCCACTAGTAGACAATGGGTTTTTCTTCCCCAGGGTGGGCCTTGCTTCAAAAGTGTGGATTTGAAAAGGGTCATTTGCATTCCCCTTGGCCCCACGCACTTTCCGAGGAAATCCACTTCATGGGTATTGTTTAAAAAAAAAAAAAAGCCCTTTGGAGTTCCTAATACCTTCCAGAGAATGTATTAATCTCTTAAAGAAGGTATTCACATGCAATTCCACAATAACACACACAACTGCATTTTAAATAAATGGATGCTAAAGGTATTAAAACTTCTTCAACAAGGTTTAACTTAATTCAGTAAAGTTCATTCAGGACATTAGAGGATATTATCAGTCAGACATCGCTTTACAAAAATCAACACAGGATACGGAGCTTTGTAACTGAAGGGCATGAGCAATAGCAGCAGACACGTGTTCCTGGGATGCATAATACTATATATGTCCAACTATTTCATAATTTGTTTTCCATGATAATAAGGCTATGATGATGGGGGCCAAGGGTATATAGCTTGAGGGATTAAACTAAGTTTCAGTGAAAGACAAATTTGTGCTTAGACAGATTGGTTTCAGGAATGCCCAGTGCTGCAATTTAATGCATCCAAATGTAACCACAAAAATTAATGTAAGTAAAAATATATCCATATGAATTAAAATGCATTAGTAAAATGTGGTGTCAGTGTAAAGTTGAGTTCCACAAGGTATTCTATTACAAATTAAAATGAACTAATTTACATAAAAATAAACTGGTTTCCTTTCTACCCTATCTACTTCTGTTAAATGTAATGGGCTGGAAAAACTAAACAGGCATAAATCAAGTAACCTTCACATCTTTTATCTGGGTGCATAAATTCCATTAACTTTGAAAATTTAGATACAACTTTAAAATAACGTGAATCATTGTCACTGTATAATATGCTGGAGATTACAGAATAGTGTAACAAAAACTCATGCCTTTCTGAACTATTGCGTCTACTATTTCTGAATTACTGAGTAGCAGAAAGTAGGTTCTTTAATACAGTCAGTACCTGAATAATTATTACCTTCCAAAAGATACTGAGTAGGAAGCAGTGGCACCATTTAGAGAGGGCAGGGGGCACCAGCCTCCTACCTCCCCCCGAGTTTCGTACCATGGGCTGAGAGCGACCCCTCCCCCTGTTGCTTGCTCCTCTCCCCTCACCAACCAGGAGTTGTGCCTCCCCAATCTGAAATGGTGCTCCTGGTAGAAAGCAATTGTTTTCAGATACTGTTTGGACAAAAGCAGCATCCAAGAAGTCTGTAACCTTTTGATGCCTTGCTGACAAGGGATGAAAGAGGTTGCATTGTCCAACTTCCTGTCTGGTTACTGGTTTCTCAGACTCCTTACTACAAGGAAGAGGAAGGATGATCTTTAAGGTACTGGGCTGGGACTCAGGAGATTGGGGTTCACTTTTTGGCTCTACCAAAGACATCCTATGTGATCTTGGGCAAATCTCTGAGCTTGAAGTTCCAACTGGAAATATGAGGCTAATCATACTTGTCTACTTAGCTCTTCAGGGAAGGGGCTTACAATCTGTCTCTTGCTATGCATACATACAGTGACAAGCACAATGGAGTTTCAACCTAAACTGTGGCCTCTAACTAAGCAATGTTGTAATATATATATATAATATATATATATAAGAACACAAAATCATAGGTATTGATCTCATACCATTATCTTAGTTACTGGTCCCAGTGGGCCAATTTACATTTGAAATTAACACCCTATGCAAGTCCACTAATCACCGGGTCCCAGCAGGCATAAACCCACATTGAATTTGGCCTATTTACATACTGTGGAATATATTCTCACGACTAGCAATGGAACATATCAAATAAATGGTATTCTCTTTCTTTTCCAAAACCGATAAGGGCTGTTGAGGTACATAAGAAAGTGAGACAGGCTGAAATTGATAGCAGCCCTGCAGGGTGGATATGAAAACAAATAATCACAGTAATTTATTATGATGTATACAGCCCCCAAAAGTGTGATGGGGACTAGAATCTGTAGTGAACTAGACCCTACAATGTGGCACCAGACTTTAAAAAAGGCAGATACTTTCTCCACAGGCCTGCTGACAGCAATTCCGAGCCCCAGGGCAGAATAGTTAATGAGCTCCCCATACACGCATAAACTCCCCGGGTTTCTACATACCCGCCCAGTAGGGATGCCAACTGTCTAATCGCGCAAACCCAAAGACCCTTGCCCTGCCCCCTGCCATGCCCCTTTCCTGAGACCATGCCCATGTCCTGCCCCTTCTCCAAGGCCCCGCTCCCTGCTCACTCCATCCCCCCTCCCTCCGTTGCTCGCTCTCCCTGACCCTCACTCACTTTCACCAGGCTGGGGCTGGGGGTTAGGGTGCAGAGTACAGGTTCTGGGAGGGAGTTTGGGGTCAGGTTGTAGGCAGAAGTTTGGGTGCTGGGTTCGGGCTCTGGGCTAGGGCAGAGGGTTGGGAGGGGGTGAGGGATTGGGCTCTGGGAGGGAGTTTGGGCCTGGG